TAGTTCATTTCAACTCATGGAAACTCCGTGTGTGTCAGAGTAGAAGTGTGCCCCACGGGATTCTCAATGGGTGATTTTGGGAAGCATATCACTTGGTCTTTCTTCCAAGGCATCTCTTGAACCTTCAACTTTTTAGTGAGCAGCACAGAACCTCAGTCATTTGTGCTTCTTAGGGACTCCCTAACAAGAAAAGCCCGCACAAACTATAAAATACTTTCTATTGCACAAAGAAATTCAACATTTTTGTTAAATAATATTTTCTATTTAGTATTTCTGTTTAGTAACTTAGTTGAACAGTTGTGTTTGGGTAGTACCAATTGGAAATAATTAATGCCTTTTGATTGGTGACCAAATTGTACAAGCATAATGGCCTTCGGGGCAGGGGAGGAGAAGGGAAATATTATAAAAGGTTTTAGTAGTGAAAGGCCAGGGAGACTGGTCAACAGATTAAATTCCTTGTCCTGGTATTCAAGATTCCTTGGTCCATTTTACTTTTCCAACCTTTTCCTTTGCCACACTTCATATCCACATCTCTAGCTCCAGACAGTAAATACTTCTCACCTTCGGACACTGGGGCTTGGCTTAAGTACGTCCTTCTCCCTTAACCCTTCACCTGCCACAAAATTCCAGCTTCCATTTGAAATGCCCTGTCTCTGGAGCTCCTGACCTGCATCAGACCAAGCCTAACCCTCTGAGGGTAATAACCAGAGTTATAATGTCTATCTTGATAGCACCTGCTAGGTCTTAACCATGGTAAATGATCATTGACTATGTGCTGCATGGGATTAATTTTCAGAGTGTGGTACCATTCTTTGAGCCACATGCATTGTAGTCGACTAAACTCGCTTTTCTCTGATCGATGCAACATCTCATAACAGAAAATTGGCTGAGAAACTTTGGAACAAACTGCCTAGGTTTGAATCTCAGATCTGCCACTTTGGTGGTGACGTTGGGCAAGTCACTTAATCTTGCCATATCTCAGTTTACTATCTGAATAACTCTTAAGATGCTTGTGAGGTATAAATAAAATAGCTTTAAAATGCCTGTCAAATACAAGCTGCTCGGTACATTTTTTTTTACTCCTACTTTTAGAAATAAATTTGGTAAACTCAACAGACTCAAGCTCTTTCCTCGTAGAGATGAACACTTTATGTTCTCACTTCGAAAGGAAACTTTGGAGTTAGCATTTAGAGCTGGAATTTTCCCTCACACTCTCCCCAGCCCCGCTTTTCAACTCTCATCCGTGATTAATTGGCTTTGTTTTAGCTCCCACCCACAAATCATAGTCTGATTTGTTTTCAACAACCTCCCGGGCATTTTTACACCAAGGAAGTAGACTTTTGTCCCTCAGAGTTATTTGATTGAGATTCTGACCTTATTTCTTCTTTAAAGAACTTCTTGCAAATAGATGTCCCGATGCAGGCATTGCATTTATCAAGACCGAGGAAAGTCCTTCCAGAAGTGTAGCTGCTTCTGACTTGGAGCACCAGAGAAGGAGAGAGGGAAGCTGGCGAGGAGAAAGAAGAGCTCAGGGCTGAGAACCACAGCAGCAGAGTCGGCCAGCCTTGGTGGAGTGCAGCAACCTCAGGCCCAAGTCGGGGCTCCATCCCTGGGTTGAGACTGCAGCTACAACCTCAGCTGCCCACTCAGGGCTGGACAGAGGCAGGTCTAAGCTAAAAAGGGGGCTGCCAAAGGGGCAGACTTCTGGGTTGCTGACCCTATTCCAGTTTCCCAGGTTCTGTTAGAGGATGCTAAGGAGCAGGGCTTAATGGGCTTGGGAAGGAGGTGAGGAAACCCATGGAGGATGCTGATAAGCTGTTTCCAGAGTTACTCTTCCTCTGCCTGGGGTGGCTGCCTCAGGCTGGGGAGGAGTTCACTGCAAATTTTGGGAAGGACAATGGTCAGGGTTTCTCTGGTCAGCCTTTTGACAAACACAGGATGTCCTGGCTGGGCAGGAAAGGTTAACACAGGATGTGTGTCCGACCTGGGTCCCACCTGGGAGTTTCAAAAGATCCTGAAGGCATCCACCCTCCACTATTTTAATTCCGGGTCTATATTTCCTTGTGGATTACACACACACACACACACACACACACACACACACACACACACACTGTTTGGTTCTTCCCAAGTGAGTGATTTGGTCTGATCCTTAGCTAGACATACCGCTTCAATTTTTATCACGTCTCATTGTGAAACAACTAGAGTTTAACATGCTGTCAATAAAGTGGCACATTTAGCATTGATTTGAAAGGCTAGGGCTTAATATTGCTTAACAAAAACAAAAAACAAAAAAGCCCGTGCCATTTGAACTGATTCAGACTCACAGTAACCCTATACAAGGTTTCAAAGACTAAATCTTTACGTGAGTAGCCAGCCTCATCTTTCTACTTCAGAATGGCTGGTGGGTTTGGAGATAAGAAAAACTCAGGGAAGTCCATGCTTCAGGTTCTCTTTCTAATCTAAAAACCAAAGCAGAGAAAAGGACCTGGTGGCCTCAGTGGATTGATAAGGGGAGCACCAGAAAGATATCTCAGCCTGCCCCTTGCTATAACGGTCTCTCTCCTTCACACTTTGAACCTTTTCTTCCCTTTAACACCTGATCTCACTTCTCTATGGTCCCCCTTCCCCCCACTCATGTTAGTTGATGGAGAGTCCCACCTTATTGTCTCTTCTTTTTATTCATGGAAAATGACAAAACATAAACCATCTAAACAGTTTCTACACGTACAGCTCAGTGACATTTACATTCTTCAAGTTGTGCATCCATTTTCAAAGTCTTTTCTAGATTACTCCACTACCATGAACATAAACTCAATGTCCCCTAAGCTGAAACCTCCACTTCTGTCTCCCTGGAAACCACTAACAAGCTTTGGTCTCTATGTCTTTGCCTACATTATATAAGTGGAATCATACAATATTTGTTCTTTCATGACTGACTTCTTTCACCCAGCATTATGCTTTCAAGGTTAATTCATGTTGCAGCAAGTATCAGAACACAACTTCTCTCTATGGCCTAGTAATATTCCGTTTTTGTTATCCATGTATGTGCTGATGGACATTTAGGTTGTTTCTACTTTTGGGTTATTGTAGTGCTGTGATGAATTCACATTGGTGTACAGGTGTCTGTTTGCATTTCTGCTAGAATGATTGGGTTGGGGTTGCTGGACTCTATGCATAACTTTTTGATGAACCAGCAAATTATTATCCATAGGGGCTGTACCTATTTACATTCCCACTAGCAATGGATGAAGGCTCCATTATCTCCCCCTCCTCAAACACACCTGTTATTCCCTCCACCCCCCATTTTAAGATCATAGCCATTCTAGTCATTTCTTCTTTAAGGGATTTCTTGTAGATAGATATTCCAATGCAATTAAATTGGATTTAACTTCTCCAGTATGGTTTTTCTCCTAACACCAAAACGAGACCCACAGTATGGGGGCCTATGCAAATGATAACTTGGAGTAAAGAGATCTTCTAATTGCCAAATCCGGGGAGGAAGGTTTGTCTGCCTTCTTGGGGGGAAAGGTGGAAAGTTCTCCTAAAAATTGCCTCGTGAGAAGAACAGGATAATCACTGTTCTCGGTGCTTATTGGCTCTCTGTCTCTTCTCTAGCGTGAAATGTCATTTTCTTAATCTGCTGAGTTTGGAGAGTTCCTTATATATTCCAGATTTGTGGTCTGCAAGTATTTACTTTGTGTTAGCTTATTCTCATTTCATCCCCTTAAAAGTGTTTCCACCGGTAAAAGTTTTCCATTTTTCCATTTATTTATTTATTCATTTTTTATCGTTTTATTGAGGGCTCTTACAATTCTTAGAATTCTTAGTACAATCATACATCAGTTGTATTAGGCACATTTGTACATATGTTGCCATCATTCTTTTCTAGACA